TAGCCATGCGGACCCAAGTTGAGAACCTAACCTAAGGCGGGCAAATATTTTCTCACTTTGGACCCCATTAGGTCCTTGCTTCTATCGCCTAGTCATGCTAGGTAGGTTTCTGCAGGCAAAGACGTATCGGATGAAGATAGTGCCGAGCCCTGCACTCCAAAGGTAAGTGTGGTAGTTCCGGGTTTTGAAGTCAATAGGCCTTCTTATATGGTATGGACTCGACCATGCGACAATTCCGTACAGCGCTTTGTATCTTCTCCTTCTCATGCGTATTCAGGAATATCCCGTATGCAGGGGAAGCAGAGTCTATACGCATACGGGGAGTTGCCAGGAGACAAGCCAAGTCTGTGAGGAGTACTGTGGGCGCAAAGGTGGCAAGTACAACTCGCAGAACGCCCTGTGCGAATGCGCTGGTCTTTCTAATGTTGAAGACGTCTGCGACGATGAGTGCAAAGAACGACAAAAATCCATTTCAGTTGAAGGCGGCAATCTAGTGGTGACAAATGAGGAGGGCAGCATTCATTCAACCTTCAGTCTAGCGGCTCTTAGCGGACGCTCAGATGTGTTGTTCGGCAACCTCACCTGTTCAGAAGCCAAGTGTCCAGCGTTACTGTACTCCGTTGCTCAAGGTTAGAGAACTTTTAAGAAGGACAGCATAAAACTTTCGGAACAAATAGTCCCCCAGATTGTTGTTAATGCCAAGGCACCGCTGCTGTCAGTGGTTTGTGAGCAGATGGAAGCACACACGGCTACTTCGGAGTTCCTGATGAGCTATTGGCTGTAATCGATGAACGACTGGACTCAGAAGTGGCTAAGGCGCGGGCTGAAATTTTGAGCCCGCTGACACAGCTTCGACCTAGGTTGCTCCAAGCGGCAGGGCAGGTGCCGTCTCTCGAGAACCCTTTACTATGCATTTTGACTGGAACATCCGTTTTATGGATATTGGAGCCTGGAACGGAGCCCGTGTATCCCGTGCACGTGCGCGATTCCCTTTATAACACAGATACGGGATTTGACGCCGGAGAATTCAAGTGTGTCTGCTCACCAACCAACGGTANTCCCTTTATAACACAGATACGGGATTTGACGCCGGAGAATTCAAGTGTGTCTGCTCACCAACCAACGGTAAACTTGTTTTTCGCTACAAGCCAGGAGAATACAGTTCTTCTCGATGCTACCGAAATGCAAGAAGCATGCATAGTGGCACTGTGTGTATTACTACAGAAAACTCAAGACTGAGATGGAATCTGGGGCGCAATTAGTGCTTTTTGGTCACACATTTACAAGCCCGGGTGTTGTAGTGTTTGCGACGAACCTTAATTTGAATCGCATTATCTTCATCAAAGTTGTGGACGAAGAAGAGCAATGCGGATCCATAGAGCGCGAGTTGCCTCACCCAGCAACAGACGAGTTCATCGCAGCGCTTTCCCTGGAATTCCCTGAGAGTGCTCGTTTCGGAAGCCCTGACTGGCCAGCACTGTTCATAACGTTTGGAATTGTATTGCTCATTGCGCTTTGCTTGTTGCTGCTGCAATATCAACTACGCACAAAGTACTGGACGTTTGCGCCTCCTCTTCAAGTTGACCACGGCAACGATGCAAAGGAAGAATCGTAGGTTCATATCTGTTAAAGCTTTGGTCGTCAAGCCCCATTTGCCCCAGTGTGGCCGTGCAAGCCTAGCTAACTAATGGGTTGCAGCCTGAGGCNCTCTGCTGTAGAGGAACAGAAGCTCATGAACCGGAGGTCGCAAATACATTCACGGACTTGGACCCTCGTGTTTTCCAGGCTGTATATTGCAAGCTTCTGGAAACAATGACTATGCTGAGAGAACAACTAGAACACATGGGTTTGCAACAGGACCAGCTTATCGAACTCGAGCTCGATATGGCAGGGCCTTTACGGACATCGTTGTTCCCTATCTTAGCGGAGGCTTCCGAAAAAAAGGTGACAGCATGTAGCGGTTAGATGCCCTAAATTGGGTGTGCGACTTCATTGCCTCTTGCGTGGTTTGCCTTTGGAATGCCGTCGTATAGTGATGAGGATAAACATTCTCATTGCCGGGCAGCGCCCCAAAATCGAAGCACACGAGCATCAGGATGAAGTTAAGCATGGTCGTGTGCGAGATGGCCACCAACTGGTTAACTCTGCCTCAGATAGCAATGCACCGCCTCAAGAGCACTTTTGTTGTAACTTCGCAGGCGTGGGTTGAAGTAGAAGATGCGGAGCTGAGCGAAAAGCTTGTTGATATGAAGAGCCTAATGCACCTTCGAAAAGGCGCATTTGAGGAGGCTGTNAGCTGAGCGAAAAGCTTGTTGATATGAAGAGCCTAATGCACCTTCGAAAAGGCGCATTTGAGGAGGCTGTTAGGAAAGCGTATGAAGCCATGGAGGATGCCGAAGTGAGGCGGAGTTGCCCATTAGCAGTGTGACACTACAAGGAGCAGCAGCAACGAGCTTACTGGGGCGGCTGAATACCGCCTTATAGAATCTCAGCTCCATATTGTTTACACCGAGAGCAATCCAGGGGATTCAAAGCGGTCGTCTCCGCATCAGCTTTTGTTCGTTTTATAGGGCCAGAGACTCGAGCAACCAAATGTTTCTAAGCTGTACGCAAGCCTGGAGTCTCAAGCAATTGAGGAAACCATCCGTCAAACATCTGCAGCATTCATCCAACTTGCAGGTCTTAACCCAGGATCATTTGCTGCTGCTCTTGGTGTAGAGGAAACAATTGCCACAACACAAGCATTAAGGCACTTACAGGCAATGGAAGCAGCCACGCAGACGTTGAAGGAGCTAAAGACAACGCTTGATGGTAAAGATGCGAAGGCAGCTGAAGAATTGTTGACGACCTGCGGCTCTCGCATAAAAGAGAGATTTGAAGTAAATATGTTGTGGCATATATTGTTTCCCTCTACTTCCCTCTCTTCTCCGAAAGCACTAAACGCCAGTGACGTTTGATGCCATGGCCAGGGCGCCTCGCCTCAGATTGAACGTGGTTAACTGGTGGTTGTGACTGGTGGGGCTTTGCAGGCGAGTGACTTTTGGTCTGTCAGCAACGATGTTCTCAAGACGCAGGTAAGAACATTAACTTAAAGACTATATGCCACTTAAAGTAAATGTTCTTACCTGCGCAATTCGTAGGACTATATGCCACTTACGAACTGCGATCGAGAACTGGAGGCTCAATTCTCGCTTGTGAGCAGGCAACGACGATTTCTGAGCACATGGAGATTTGCGGAATGCAGCGCTCGATTGATGAGAGCATTGGACGGCTCATAGACCAAAGAAACGCAGCATTTACCCAGCAAGTCCGCTCTTCACGCCATGTCCTGTCTCTGGCCGAAAAGCATATACTCCGAACCCAGAAGTCTATGCAAAGCTAGCAAGTGCTTTGCGTTTTCAAAAACCCATTTTAAAACCCTTGATAGCATGGACAACCGGGTGCTCTCGTGAACTCCGCTGACAGCTGGCCTGAGTTGTGTAGCGTGTCTTTTTGTTCTGCACAGCAATGCTTCATCGATGCATCCTTGCTAAACAACTTAGCGGAATTCAGCAAAGCCGTAGCAGTCCTTCAGGAAGACATATATGGCCATTTCTGCAGTGCACGGAAACGATATGAAAAGGCACAATCTACAAAGAGGCTAACCATACTTCCTGCAATCCTGAAACAGTTCACCGAGACGGCTGAAAACGTCTACAAGGTCGGGTCGGACGAGCAATCGGCATCTTAATGAGCCATTCAATGCGTGCTTTTCCCCTACAAACATTTCTCCATATGCCCTAACTGCAATAGTAGACGACATCAAATGATTCCAGCTGAAGTAAACTCAAGCGTTAAGAAATTGTAGTGCTCTACGTGTTTACTAGATGCGTTACCTTCTGCGCCTGAAATTTCTGTATTCAGGAATTTGTACAGCATCAAACGGATGCGGAAGCCCTGTTTCAGGAATCCATGAATTCGAAGACCAGCGAACTAAACGCATCACTCATGGAGCTAGTTTTACAGTGCAGAAGGGCTCTGGAAGAAACAAAGCGCGTGAGCCAGGCTAATGCAACGCTTGAGCGGCAGCTTGTTGAGTCAACGCGTTGATCTGTGTCTGTTAAAAGCTCTAACAAGAGGGACTAAATCCGTGTTCGCGTGTTTGACATTCCAGGAGATTGCCAATAAGGAGCAGCTAACCTGGTCCAAACGCGAAACCATGGAAACCGAAATCCTTACAGCTTACCATTCTGCGCTTTGCCAAACCAGGCAGGGTCAGCTAGCTTACAGGTAAGCAATATGCTGCGTCTGACAAGATGCCTTCGTAGTATTTATAGATGCACTAGCTGTTCTGTTAAAGTGTTCGATCAGCAATGTCGGTCCCCTTGGGGGTCAATATACTTCACGACGGGCACCACCCATACGATTGTACGCGACGACGGACATGGCAAAATACAGCACCATTTTCCATGTCTTTGCATCGCCAGGCACGAGCTAGAGAGAACATTGATTGCAGAACAAGCCAGAAACGAATATCTTATTCGTCTCTACGTGACGGACGAGTCAGCTGCTGACATATCAGAAGAATGCCGGGTTGCTACGGAACAAGTGGGTTTCACTTTGCAACACGCATGTGAAGATGTGAAGCTCATTTGTACAAAGCATCTGGAGATGGCCCATCTTGCAACACGCATGTGAAGATGTGAAGCTCATTTGTACAAAGCATCTGGAGATGGCCCATCTGTTGAAGTTCAGCGCGCTTTTCTTTTGTACGCAGCNCTCATTTGTACAAAGCATCTGGAGATGGCCCATCTGTTGAAGTTCAGCGCGCTTTTCTTTTGTACGCAGCAACTGGATGCCATAACGTTTGAACAGCGGAATGCACTTGCAGATTTGAAATCAGCCATGGACAGCGAGTACACTCGGACAGTTCGCCTTGCCAGGGAACGGTTGCGTATTTCAAAAGCTCTTGCACAGGAGGAGCAAAGGCTAGCGACGCTGAGGCATGATTTAAAGTTTCGTACTGTAACGGACGAGCTAACCTGCTTGCTGAATGCTCAGACTAAACTTGATGAGAACAGAAACCAGGTGCGTCCCTCCGCCATACCACCGCCCAAAGTGACGACTCGTTCGGGGCAGTTCTGCAACGTACTTTTAGCATTGGGCCTTCACTTGTGCCGCTCTGTCTGTGATACGCATTCGTAGAGCGTTAAGCACTTTCATCGGCGACTATTGCTTGAGCTGGAGGACTACATAAGAAAGCTGAAGGTAGGTAACCGAGTGAATTTACTTTGCTGGATGGAAGGAACTAACTGGAAGCAACCCAGCAGATTGGCCNGGTAGGTAACCGAGTGAATTTACTTTGCTGGATGGAAGGAACTAACTGGAAGCAACCCAGCAGATTGGCCCTCCGCTAGCTGTGCCTTCAAAGCCGCAGCTCTCTAGCGTTATGCTTGTTCCAATAGGTTATCCTCGAAATACAAGATTCGTTTACAGTTGCTGTTGAGCTACAGCAGTGCCTCGATTCACTGAACAGAAATATCCGGGGTGCTAGTCAAGCGGCAGCCCACTCCTTGACTTCAGTTCATGAAAACGTGACAACTGTCATGCTTCAAGAGCTGCGAAATGTTCGAACCAGCCTTCTCCGGTCTGAAGAACTGGAAGAGGAGGAAATTGGAAGGCGTATTGAAGTCCTAAAAGAGCAGGAGAGGCAGTCCGTCACCGCTTAGCTCCCTTAATCCTTCTGAACTTTGTGGCTATTGTACGAGGAAGTACTCAACACTAGCAACGTCAATTTTGAGCTAATCAGGCTCGCAGACAGGAGGACGACACCTCATATTCCGATGGGAGAGCACAGAAGCAAGCAAATATACCTAGGCTCCTTCTTATCTGCAGAATTTTGGAGGAAGACGAAGAGCGCAGGCGCTCCTGGAACAGCACAGTTCCACTAGAAGATCTGGACGTGGAAATAGAGATCCATGATACACAAGACAAGCTGGCGATGGAACGAATTAGGCTGCAGTTTATTGAAGACGAGCGGGATGCCCTTCTCTCCCAAATATCACAAGTAAGGATATGCACCATCTCCCAAACCACGAGCAGCGAATAAAAATGGCTCACGTTCATACCCCACCCACGTGCTACAAAAAACGAACTGTCCACGCAATGTACATAGTAATCACAGGATTAAAGTGCGGTGGTGCGGTGGACTGCAGGCAAAGGCAGAGGCCCTGTGTCAAGGCAACGAATCGGAACTCCCGGAGTTCATTGATTCACTGAAAGTAGGTCGACAGCCCTTAGGTTTTCTGCGTAGATCCCGTCTCCTAAGCGAATTCACGAGCGGTCGCTCTTGCGTTCCTTCCATACAGAAAAAATCCCTGGCGCGGGTGGAGGAGATGAACGAAAGAATACTTCAGCAAAGCGAGAACCGAGAAGCCGAGCAGCTTAAGTCCCAAGAAAAGAGAAAGGAGCTTATATCGAAAAGAATTTCCCTTGCAAACGATGCACGCGAAAAAAGCGCAATGTGGCTTGAACGGCAGGTAAAAAGACATCTAGAAACACCTTGCCCGTCATAGCGCTGGCGAGAATCCTTGATCTGTTGCGCCTGCATTGCTGTAGAGACGTCAATTTGATAAACTAGCTTTGCGTACTTGTGTTCCTGGCACCTCTCCAGTTCAATGCGAGCCGAGATGTGTCGAAGCGCCAGCACTTGGACATGCACCGGTTCCTGTGCCAGATCACCGACAAGCTGTTTTCTACTTTATTTGGAACAATGGGAGAAGTTGAGTCCGATCCTTCCTTAGCTGGTAAAATGACTGCAGCTACAAATTCAATCCTGCGTGAAGATGCATATGCTAGCATGCTCCTTGCTATTTCACCGATAATGGCTCCACCCTCGGTAACCCTAAGCGAGAGACAGGACCTTCTAAAGAGCTGTTTTATCCAGTGGGAAGAAACAGTTCAAACAACCCGCCAGGCCCGTACGAAGTTCCTAAAAACTTCCCTCCAGACAGCCCGTTCACGGAGACAGAGACTAGACTCAGTAAGCATTCCGACTTCTCCCACGCGGGTGGCAAGTCAAGTCTGCAACCTCCGAAAAACCGCCACATCCAACAGAAGGTGGGTACGCACATGCTTGCAGGCAGATGAACTCATCCGCAACAAACTCTTGAGAGCAAGGGAAGCTGAATGGACTACAATTGTTCTTGGCAAAGGGGCAGCAGATACTTCGTGTGCTCTATCGACTATGGGTCAGTCCGGGTAAGCTGCAGACTTCTCGGCAAAACACGGTGCACGTCAGACTGTCAAACCGCCTCAAGCAATACTCTAGTTTTGCGCCAATATAACTCCCACTCTACTGGGCTCTCCACTCTGTAGTGAATTGTAAGGTCGAGTGTGGCGCCTGCACGTCTACGGCAGGGTATGGGCAAGAAGTTATAGCACATCTGTACAAGAAAGCATAAGGACGCAGACTGAAGAGCTTAAGAAGAAACAGGCTGAAGAACTCGNAGCACATCTGTACAAGAAAGCATAAGGACGCAGACTGAAGAGCTTAAGAAGAAACAGGCTGAAGAACTCGTGGCATTTGAAGACGAACTGAAGGTCATTTTGTTTCTCGCACAAACGCAAAGCACTTCATGGCCAAACCATCTTTAGAGCGCCTGCACCGTAAAGATATGCTCTATCTAATATCAATGAAGCAGGCAACAACTCATGATGTGGCTTTTGCTTTGGTTTGCAGCATTCTCAAAATGCGAAATACCTAGAAATACAAGACCTGAGGAACAAGCTGAAAATGCTACAGCAACGAGTCGTGAGTCTTTATACGATGCAACAAGTCTAGCTGGAAATTTGAATTGTCGCTCGCTATGACCACCTGCAGCGACGGCAAGAAGTCATGCGTGGCAGGTCTATCTCCAATGCCGTTTTTTTGTGTGTACTTTCAGGGAGAGCAGGAAGAAGACTCAGGTACTGAAGTATTTAATGCGAACGCACTTAGGGACGCTTACGAGGCGTTTTTTAAATGACCCAGTAACCTCTGCGCCTCGTGTTTAGGATAGCACGAGCATCTGTGTTGTCCACCTCAGAAGCTGCGGATGCTATTCGCCGGGAAGCTGAAGCTACTGAGAAGGAAATCGCAACACTTGAGGTACGCTGCGTAGAACATATTTGGAGTTTNGGGAAGCTGAAGCTACTGAGAAGGAAATCGCAACACTTGAGGTACGCTGCGTAGAACATATTTGGAGTTTCTTTGGATGCGTCGTCGCAATCCATTTCTGCTATAGTCTTACACAACGCTGGCGAATCAACGCCGCGCTTGCTCCAGACCTAATCGTACCATTTCTGGCTTTCGGAATGCAACGGCCAGGCATTTGCAACTACCAAACAGTAGTTCCTGTCTGTATGTGAAGTGACTGCTCTGGAACAATCCAGTGTGCTTGTTATAGTACAACGAGCGTTTCTCGTGTCACAGCAAGTTTTACTCACGAGCTTGTTCCTTTTTCCATGTATGTGGGGAAAAGGCTGCTGCCCATGACGAAGCCAAGGCTGCCGATGCGAGAAAGCGCGAATTCGTCGAGGAGCAGAAAAAAGAGCTTTTCAAGCACGAACTTAATAAACAAAGAGAGTTTATGGAGACGCAGTGGAAGGTTAGACATGCTCGGGGCTCCGAAGCGGTTCCCTCGTGTGCCATCCCTGACAGTGACAGCCATTAGGGACTGCGTGAAGCAAGCATTCAGTCCGTGACTGAGTACTGCTGCGCTGCAGCTCTCCAGGATTGCGAAGTTTGAAGAACTGCGTAGCATGCAGCTTGATCAATCTAGCAGTGTTGCAGCTCAGAAGGAGGTCAGCGCCTACACTCTTTTCAACGCCCAATTGCACAAGAACACTTTCAGATGAGGGGCCCTGAAGATGACAGCTTGTGCTTTAACAGTGCATACAGTAGAGAGCGTGCCATACTGATTACTGCGGCTTACGTTATCTTAGAGCGCAGAAAGTATTACCACTAGTGTATGTGGTATCAGCCGTAAAGTATTACTAGTGTAAGGTTGCGCAGACTAGAAACCACAGCCTGCAGGGGACTTTCCATTGCAGCGTTTTGTCTGCAGCTCTTAGCAGGCTGTCACGAAGCTGAGCTCCGAGATTTGAAAGAGCTGCACAGTCGCCAAAGAATTCTTATTCTCAATCAATTCTTTCATCAAGCGCAACGAGAGGCGAAGGACAAGCTCTAGTAAGAAATGCACATCTGTGCTTGGCGATGTGGGCATGTTCCAAGGGGGTGTTAGTTGACGGGCATCCATCGTGCGTTCGAGCCCATGTATTGGTTCTACAGCCCTACGAAACGCCTTTCTATATATTCGTCAA